ACTGTCATCAAAGGTTTAATTATCAATCGGTAACAATCAATTAAATCACCAATGAAAGAAAATCTATTTTGGATACATCTAATCAGGATAAATGAAAGAACAGCTATGCACTCTTACAACTTTCTTACTTTTTTTTTTTTTTTTTTTGAGACAGAATTTCACTCTTGTTGCTCAGGCTGGAGTGGAATGCTACGATCTTGGTTCACTCCAACCTCTGCCTCTTGGGTTCTCTCCAAGCAAGACCCTTGTCTCAGCCTCCCAAATAGCTGGAATTACAGGCATGCACCACCACACCCAGCTAATTTTGTATTTTTAGCAGAAACCAATTTTGATCATGTTGGTCAGGCTGGTCTTGAACTCCTGACCTCAGGTGATCCACCCACCTCGGCCTCCCAAAATGCTGAGATTACAGGCGTGAGCCCCTGTGCCTGGCCAACATTTCTCTTTGTGTTGCTCAAAATGACTTCATTCTTGGCCTGAACCATTCTTGGTATGGTTGGTCCAGCAACTATTATCTGGTTTAAAGGAGACTGGAGGTCAGGCTAAAATCTAGTTTTGGAGATACCCACACATTTGAACTGGAGTGAAATAAACATATGATAAGATCAGGATATTTGATCAGATATTTCATCTAGGAAGTAGACATAGGTTTAACATTGATAGAATCCAGCTCTGAATGAATACTGCTTCCAGCACCAGCTACAGTGTTCATCTGGACATGGAAAACAAAAATAAATCAGCTATTCATGTATATTTTTTAGACTTGGTATTGGTTTAGCTAATAATATTAGTAGACTATCTGAATCCTTGAATATATATTTGAATTTAACTATCCAGCTTTGAGTTCAGAGGTTAGATTTTTCAAGTGTCTATCTGCCAAATGTTAGAAACTTGGGTTTGATATTCCAATATTTAGATGTTAACTATGAATGACTATTCTTCCATAATAAATATTAAATATATATTTTTCTTCATTGCTGTTTGAATTATGCAAATAACACATGAACATATTCACATTTAAAAGATTAATCTATTTAGAAATATGTAAAATAAAAGGTGGAAATCCTTTTTTAATGCTTCCTTTTTGAATGCTTCCACTTGTACTACTTTATTTCAAGGGTAATCAGTTTGTCAATAGTTTGGTGTGTATCCTTCCAGTTCTTTACCTCTGCATTGGCATAAATTTGTATATTAGCACAGACATATATTTAAATTGATAAATTTATACTTAAGATATTATTCTGCAAGTCAGAGAGTTTTTGTTTTTAACTAGCATTATTTCAAATATTTTCCCAAGTCGTTTGTAGGAATCTATAATATTCCATAATATGAGAGAGGGAAAGAGAGAGAGAGAGAGAAAGGGAGTATGTGTGTGTGTGTTTGTGTATAAGTGTTTTTTTTATGGGGTCTTGCTTGTTGCCCGGGCTGGAGTGCAGTGGTGTGGTCTTGGCTTACTGCATCCTTGACCTCTTGGGTTCAAGCAGTCCTCCAACTCTGGCCTCCTGAGTAGCTAGGACTACAGGTGTGTGCCACCACACCTGGTTAATTTTTCAATATTTTTCTAGAGATGCGGTCTTGCTCTGTTGCACAGACTGGTCTGGAACTCCTGGCCTCGAGCAATCCTCCAATCCTCCTGCCTCCTGCCTCGGCCTCCCAAAGTGTTGGGATTACAGGTGTGAGTCACCATGCCCAGCTGATAATATGAGTAGATTTTGAAGTTGGGCTTTATTACATGAGAAATATTTTTGCTCCTTTGAATTTTCTAAACAAATATGATACAAAGCCTTTAGAAAAGCTTAAGATATAAATGAAATGCAATTCCATTTCAGAAGTAGTTTTGACATTACATTATTTGTATTTTTTATTTTTTTTCCATTTTGATTCAAGTGAATTGCAAAACAAATGATTGGTATTTTATTATATTTTACTAAGCAAATTTTAAAAGTGTGTGCAAACAACATTTAAAGAACTCGTCTTATTAAAAAGTATTTTTCTATAATTAAAATATTTAAAATTATAATAAGTTAAAATTATTAAAATTATAATAATCTAAGAGTTTGTATTACTTCCATACTATAGATAAGGAAATTGTGTCTCAAAGAGGTTGAATGAGTTGGTCAAAATTACACAAAAAGTAAAAGGCAGAACCTGAAAATAAGGGTTCACATCTTAGGACTCCAAGACAGTATACACGTTTGACTTTTTTGTCTTTAAATTTGCTGTGAACATTTTTCCACATTTGATTTTTAAGTATAAATATTAAGTGCCTTCTTTGTATTTTAGTATTAGGCATCCTAAGTCTTCTACTTACAAAAAAATATTAAAAGTGAAATTTAGCAAGCATTCTAAATATTCCAATTATGAAATATATTTCATATTATGAACTCATATTATGAGTTTTTCTTCTGTAAAAGTATTTATCATTTAAGATTAGAAGATTTAAGCTTGAGGAATATGATCCAAAATGGTTTGTTATACTAATTGAATCATGAAAAGTCCCAACAAAGCATTTTTGTTGGTTTTAGATGATGAAACTAGGTGTTTAATGAATTTATCTTTTCTTTTCCAATTGGTGATTGTACCCTGGGTTATGAGAATATGTAGAAATTGAATGGAGTAGCTACTAGCAACTTGCTGAAACATGATGCAGTTCCCTGACTCTCAGCAATTGAAACCACGGCTTCATGAAAGGCTTCTCTTATTTCAGTTATAAATGTGCAGAACAGCATGCCTTCAGACTTTGCTAGAACTTGCCAGAAGTGGAAAGTCATGACTATCAACATGGTTATTAGTTAACATTGACTGAGTACCAACAATGTTTTTGGTGTCATAAATATTATAGAGAGGAAGACACTGTTCTGTTCCTGGGGGATTGGCTTTCTGTAAAAGTGGGATAGAGAATCTGGTCTTGAATGTTCTTTTCTTGCTGGGAGGTGGGGTTGAGGGCACAGTCACTTCCAGTCTCATTCTAATGGCACTCTCACCTCTTTATTGATGATACATGCAATAAAAAGAAAAAAATGTGTAATTACACATACATACATACATGTGAAAAGCACATGTAAATTTTATTTTTTATTGGTAAAAAATATATATTTATGGGGGGAGCTTGAGGCAAGAAGTCACATCCTGCAAGATATCCAGGTGACTGTAGCTTCTATATCCTAGTGTATAACATATTTATACTATTATAAATAGTATATAGAATATGCTAAGAAAAGTACATAGAGGTTTTTGTATGTGTAAATATATTTATATGAACCCAATATGTAGAATAGAGTGACCAAGTGTTTTGTTTTTGACATCTGAGGCACAAAAGTAATCCAGTCTCTTGAAAGAATGGGGACTTTCCAAACATATCTGAACTGATTATTGGTATTCATATAAGATAAATAAGTCATCTTTTAGGTCTTTGTTGTTTGATGTCTAAATATATAGGAGTTTCAATTTTATTTCATCAAAGTTATTTAGGAGGCAAACATTGACATTAGCTATTGATTATACCAAAATGCAATGGTGACAAAACAATATACCTTAACATTTGGCACTGAAGTTCCTTTCTGAAAATGAAACTCAGGGAAAATCAATGAAGTAACTCATCATACCCTCTGATAAGTACAAGTGACTAAAGAGTTTAGGAAACACCCAACCTCAGAAACTAGGGTGTGACTTTATTATGCTATGCTTATACTAGCATAAAGGTTTAACTTAATCATTCTATTACGCTCATTGTGAAGGAAGTTTGTAAGTTGAAGGCATTTTAAGAGTATGAAATATTGAAACTGATAATACAAAGATAAGAATTTGTGTAGAAACTATTCTGTATTTATACATTATGTTTTTGTAAATTTTTTTAAAGAGCCAGACTTTCTTTGTATATATAATCAAACTTTGAGAGAAAACTAGTTAAAGCAGAAGAACTCTTGTTAAAACAGCACAAAGTACCTGGCTTCCTAGACCCAGCACAAAGTACCTTGCCCCTGAGCTGACCTGATGCAACTTTGAAAAACCATAGGGTTCCCAGGAACTTAGTTTGAAAACCTTCACTCTTATGAGCATAACCCTATAACCATGAGAGAAAAGGGCTTTATTGAAAAAGGACATGGGACACTGACTAGTTTAATACTTCTGGCTCTGATTCTGGATGCATTAAGCAATCTTTCAATGAAAATGTTGAATTACAGTATTTTGGTTTACTCTGAGTTTGTAGTTTATCGATTAATTGAGTTTTTTCTTAAATCAGCCTCATCTAAGGGTAGTTAATATAAATTCACTTACTCTTGTGCTTGCTGTGGGATTAAAATTTTTAAAAACCACAAAACAAAACAAGAAACCAGTCTTTGTTCTAGTAGAGCTGAGATTACACCATAGCTCTAGGGACTTCACTGAGGTTATGCCAATGTATGGTACCCTGCTAATAATTCGTACTCCTGTATTGATAAAAATAATGGGGCTGAGATTAGCCATAAAGATCATCTGATATTTCTTTTTAATTTTTTAGAGACAGTCTATGTTTCCCAGCCTGGTCTTGAACTGGGCTCAAGTTATCCTCCTGCCTCATCCTTGCAAGTAGTTAGGACTACAGGCATGAGCAACCAGAACTGGCTTCCTAGTATTTCTTAAAAGTTTCATGAAAGGATGATTATCTTTTAGTGTAACAAAATAGATTAGCATTACCCTAGCTCAACAACATTTTTTCATTTTTGACAACTTGTTTTTAAATTACAAACCTATTAGTTCTGCCTAACTGTTATTTCTTGAAGGCCATACATTTAGGAAGTGTTAAATTTTTAAAGTATCAGCGTATAAATTAGTGGACATAACGCTTAAGACCCTCTTTCTAATATAAATGGAATAAAATGCTGGGAATGAGTTATTTCTATTTTCTAAGCAAGTCTATTCTTTGACATTTGTTGCCTTGAGTCTGCAAAAATATTCAATTTTGGATTGTTTAATAATGTGTAGTCTTGATTCTCTAAACTGTGAAATAAATTACTTTTTTTCTTTGCTATCTTTCAAGCAGAAATTTGGCTTTTCTGTTATTTATCATAGTTTCTCAGTTGTGTTTCCTTTTGTTCTAATTTGTTAGACTTTATTCTAGACAGTTGCATGTATAAAAATAAAAATGAAAATCCAAGGAAAAGTCACTTTAAAAATATTCAGCTAAAATATCCCCTTAGTTTAAGTATATATAGTAGTTTAATGACCAAATCATTTATATTTTATTTATAAAGTGCTTTGCTTATATCATTGCCCACAATTGGAAATGTAGCTAACAAGTATTGGGTGTTGGACTGTGTGGTAGTAGAAAAAGACTCAGATATATTCTTACTATCCTATCACCCATAGGTGACACTTTGACATATGAACAGAGTAGAATAGAATGGACTAAGAAAATAATGTCAGATAAATGATGTTCATTACAAAGGAAAATATATTTTTACATCTTTTTAAAAAATCTTTGCATTTGCTACTTTCCATGGAGACCTACTCTCTTGTATAGTATAAGGACTAAATGTTAGTTTTAAAATAATTAAAACCCTTCATTATCATCATCATTATCAAATATCACTAACCGGAGTCAAATAATTTGAATTCTCTTCCAGGTCTACGGCTCACAGGATGCCTGATAATGAACAAATACAACCTTTTTGGCATCTCTAAAATGGGCATAATAAATTTCTTAATTTCTTCAGCATAATTCTGTGATGCTAAAATAATACATATAACAATAATATTTTAGAAAGTATGAAAGTATAACAAGGTGGCATTATGATTATAGAGGTGCTAGAATATTGTGGTAATGTGTACAGGCTCTGGAGCCAGACTTCCTTGATTCAGATAGTGAATCACTAGATATTTAACCTCAGACAGGCTACTTAATATCTGAGTGCCTCAATAGCCTCGTCTGGAGAACAGGGCTAGTAACAGTCCTTAACTCATAGTGTTGTTGTGTGGATTAAATGGGGTAATACTGTAACTCTCTTAGAATGGGACCTGGGGCATTATAAAAGTTCCTAGCTCTTAAATAATAATATTTAAATATCTAATATAACATCAAAATTTTAATTACTTCATTCAAAACATTCAAAGCTTGTTAAAAACAATGTAGGCTGAAGTTTTCTGGGCCAGATTACAAATGACCTTATGGAAGAGATGTAGTCCCTTTAGCCAAAAGAGGTCATGAGGACACTGCCTAGGCTACAGGAAATCTCAACAAATATTCTCAAGATTCTTTTATGGTGCAGTGGCATCATTCTGAACCTCCAAGTCCAAATTGCTTTTAAGGAATCACCCAGTTCTTCTTCCTCCTAGGAATACTCCTATTAGGATCATCTTTTGATCAAAATGAAAATTCCCCCAATTATGGTGGTTTTTAAGATTAGTTTTCTTTATACTAGGTTTTGAATTTATGGGACATGCCCTCCACCCAATCTTGGGTAATATTTTCTGCAATGACAGGACCTCACTGGGGAAATCCTAAGTGAAGATAATAGCATGTTATATTAAGTGGTGCCAGTATTCCATTTAATATTAAGCAATTGCATAACAGGCTTTTTAAATACCTAAGTTAAAAGTGGTACATTAATGTTGAGTATACTTCTACTGCAAAGTCCATTCTCCCACTGATTTCAAACAAATACCATTTAAGTGCCAACCTACTATTACAAGAGTTTACTATTTTATTCTTGCTCCAAAATGGCATCAACAGTGATGGGGTGCTTTTGGGGGATTATTGAACAGAATTTTTGCAACAAAGGAGCAAGCATGGGGAAATGCAAAACATCAATGATAGGGATTGCAACGTTTTATCTCAGCATTCCTCATATCTACACACCCCCTAATCAAATGAGCAGTTTTATGGCATGTGCAATTGCAATTGAAGTATAACTGACTTCTGCAGAACTGGCTTCCATAGGATTTCCTGTCCAAAAATCACCATGTGGTCATCTGCAGCTACATGGTTACAAATCATCAAGTAAGCAAGGCTTCCCCACCCCAGTATTCTTTTTTTAAGGAGTCAAATCCACCAAACTCTATCATTTGCAAATTATCTCTGGACTTATTTTATTCCCTTTTTTTCATTGGGTAAAAAGGAAAACAAGCAAACAAAAAATCCTCCCTCCGTATTTGTTCAAGGCGTAATTTCCCTGCGAGGTGTTTTACAGGCTTCTCCTTGTTTAGCTTTTCTTGCCTGGTAATTACTTACTGAAAGAAATCTGCTCTTCCAGAGCGAGCTATTCCTTTAACCCCTTTTGCTTGCTCTTCCTTGGAGGCTAGCAAGGAGTGTGCGGCTCTGCAATGTCTGGGAACCCACCTAGAGGGCCCCCTTGACGCCAGCACATCCCCTGTCAGACAGCAGTCTCTGCAGCCGAGCCAGGCTGCTGCAGAGTTAATGTACAGTACCACGGAGCCTGCAAGTGTCCTGAGCTGATCAGAGCTGGGGCGGCACAGCCCAGGGCAGACAAGGCGGCTGCGAGGATTCCAAAGGTTCTGCTAGAAATTCGGCGCTGGGGGACTCCAGCAGGAGCCTGTTGCCATTGTGTTTTAAAAGCATGCAAGGTCTGTATAGCTTGGGCATGAGAATCTTTCAGAAGATGTCAGAGCATCAGAATAAATGACACCTATTGGAAAACTGAATTTGGGGTGAAAAAAGAGATTGAGAGAGAGAGGGAAAAAAAAAGAGAAAAGAAAGACATCGGGGGAAGAAATTCTTAGACAACGTCTGACTTGCAGCTGTGAAATTCATTTTCTTTCCAAGGCAAAATATGAAACGCTCCCACATGGTTTTGATAATAACAAATTAAAGGGGATTCTGCAGTGAAAAGATCAATAGCTTAGTCATTTTACTTAAAGAGAACAGGCAGCCTTATTATGGGGTTAGGCAACAGAAAGGAATTTCATCGTGACAGCACCTTCTGAAGTCATGATGGTAGTTAATGGTAATCTTGTCCTGCAAAGCAGAAATTACTCGTTGCCTTCCTACTTTTGCAGTTGAACCAGCAATTCTGAAATCTGGGAAAGAAGTTGGCTTTGGTGATACATGGTTTGTAGCCCCTCTGCCCAGGCCTTTGTCCGACACGTCTCAGAAGGTAACACTGCGTTAAAGTGACCACACATGAATATGTGCCTAAGAAAGAAGAAAAAGCAATATTCATTTCTAAAGGACAGCATGGCAAAGCAACCTGAAGTTTTCCATTTCCCTTCTAACACTTCTTTAACAAGGATATCAAGAAACTGTCTTTTGACGCCTTTCTTCTCACATTCCAGAGTCCTTCCTTAAGGATGCATTAATTTACACTCAAGGCGGTTAGATTTTACCAGGACAATATTTGCCACCATTTAGGATTAGTAGTTGAACTGGTTATTTTAGTGTGTTGACTAACTAGTGGAACCTAAATGGATGGACCCATACCTGCAGTGCTCTGTGATGTTTCTTTTTTCAAATCCTGGAAGGCCTTTTGTAACTGGAATTTTTTTTTATTGGTGGGGGGAAATTTTGTGTTTTCTTTTGGAATTCAATACTTGTTGCAATAATTGCCCACGATAGCTGCTCAAACAAGAGAGTTGGAATTCATCTGTAAAAATCACTACATGTAACATAGGAGACAAGAAAAATATTAATGACAGAAGATCTGCGAACATGATGCACGTGAATAATTTTCCCTTTAGAAGGCATTCCTGGATATGGTGAGTAATCAATATTCCCTTCAGTTTGTAAAACTCAGAATTATAAGGTACCAGATGAGGATTTGTCTTGAACTAGAGTATTGGTATCAAGTGAGAATGAAAAGTAAACTGTGCAAAACCGAATATTGTCTGAGAAAGTAATGGTTATGCAATAAAAATTACTTTGTTAATATGAAGCATCCCCAGATAAGTCAAGCGTGAGGACTTGAGAACATTTAAATTGCTACTATTTCATGGAGGAAAAAAAAAACTTTGAGAATGGCAACAATTTAATAAAATTTTTAAAAGGTGGGGCTTAGGGTTTGTTTTTTGTTGTTTTGCTATTTTTATTTGAAAATTCCCTGGGGAAGGGCACACATGAATTTCTGATATCTCATATCAATTTGTCTGAATTTCCAAAAGAAGGTTAAGGGAAACAGAATGTTGACTCAATTTTAAAATAATATGAAAATGTGTTGGTGCCTCACAGTTAAGAATATTTTAGGTATTCAAGAAATATTTCTACCAGAATGAAGCAGTAGAATTCTAGTAGAATTCTAACATATGAATCAGGAAGTGCTCAGGCTCTCATAGAACTTGCTTTGTGCCTTGATATTTGGTCATATATTAAGGTTCAATGCAATACATTAAGGTCCCTGGACATGTGATACCATGTGCCATTTCTTGCTGGAGTTTATGATTAAATGTGTATAGGAACTCATTGCTGAGGGTATTTATAAGAGCAAAGGGTCATTATTTTAAAATTGCTTGTTTTTGCCTTACCTTTTGGGTCAGCTGGATTCTGACTTTCATAGAAACTTTGTCAATGCATAATAAAGGCACATGTTAAGGCTTTGTGTCTGCTAACATGGGTTGTTTTGGATATGCAGTGCGTCTGATTTTGAAAGTATATCTTTCAGGTAAATGTTCTGGCTGGACTCTGGATGAATAACAGTTATCTAAATATAGGTTTCTGAAGGTTTTCCAACTGCTTTTATGACAGTGTCTCAAATGAAAGCTCCCTGAGAGCTTAAGGTACCACCGAAATCACCTGCTGGTTTGTTACGGAGTTTTTGGCTTTCAGCTAAAAAATCCATTGCAGAGAAGGATGGGAGACATCCTCTCCCACTCTATGCAGGTGCTTATTTTCTAACATCACCAGATCCATCCAGAGTCGATGCTGTGGCGTATCTACCTTTTTTGCTGACCAGAGCTACTATCCCCAGTCTCTAGAGTGCTTGGGTGACATGCCTGCAAACCTCGGTGGCCCACTTCCAACTGCATCACCAGAGTTTCCTAGTCAGGGGGAGCCTTGGTGCCATCGCCTTGCTTGTTCTGTTGGCGAGGGTCAGGCATCAGCAGTGAGGTCCTCATTATTCTTACAGACAAATTCACATCAATAGTCTTTAATCTTGAGATTAAAAGATCCTGGAAACAGTTCCTGGCACATAGTAGGCATTTGTCAATATTTTTTCTTCTATGCCTTATGCTTTTCTTCAAAGTTCATTTTATACCTCTTAAGATTTGCTTGGGAGGGGAAATTACCAGTCTCCTTTCTATCACGTGTACCTTGCTACAAAGCAACAGTTTTTGTTCTACCTAAGTTCTGTTGTTTGAGCCCATTTGTTTATGTTGTAATACATAGGATCCATGTACTCTTTGAATGCCTGCCATTATAACCACCTTTTGTTGCATTAGCCTCACGTATACTTTCGACTTGAAAGAAATAAGCTATTCAACTCGGTAGTTTTGGAAAGAATGCAAATTTGCTTATTCATGCTCCTCTAGATCTGTAACACATATGTTTGAAAGCTGAAAGGAGAAGTTGAGAGTCCTGGTGGTTTTCTTTTGTGCCTGGAACTAGGTAACCCTTCATCTGTTTCACTGCATGCCATACCAATCTGTTGTTGTTGTTGTGACCAAACTGAACCAATGTAGAATGTTAATGCTCTGTATAACTACTCTTCCCGGGCCTCTTAAAAGGATTCATTAATATGATGTTGGACTCAAAGGAAGGAGGTGGTGGTTTTTTTCCAGGTGACCTAATTAATTTTGTGCTTGATTCTTGACTTTCCCAATTGTTGTTGTTTTCCTCTTATTTATAGCCTCCCCTTCCAATACTGCAGTAAGAGATTCTAGGGGTTTGTTGACAGAAAACCTTCTTTCCCTTTGTCCTACTGTAAGATCCCGTGTAGGGTGAGATTTCAGGCTCATGAATTATCGTGCTTAGAATAAAGGGCTTGCCAAATTGCTCTTTTCATCTCCAAAGACTCCCCCTATCCTCATTCTCACATTTAGGTCCTTTTCTTCATGAAGGGGCAGATCAGAAGTTGGCAACAGACCAATGCTAAGGAATAATAAACATTGTAAAAGAGATACGTGCTTTGGTTTCACGAGCCCTAGCTTATGTCTAGAAAGACTCTATACCCTTTGGAGAGGCAGGACTTGGCATGTGCTGGTCCTCTTTCTCTCCTGCTTTTTGAGGAAAGCAAGAATGAGAAAAAGCTGAGACACAGGAGGTCTAGGGTCGTCTTCAAAAGTTTACCAGAAGTAGTGATTGAAATAGAAGCCTATGCACACAGTCCCTACTTGGACTCTCATCCTCCTGCCCTAGGACTGGTGTGTTGATTGTTGAGCAATAGTATTACAAATTCACCATTTATCAGTTATGAGTTAAAGTTAATAAGTGGTCCTATTACTTGGCTTAATAGAACACTACTCCTTCAGTGCTAAAAGAGTGGTATGAAGAATGTGTCATTCTTCTTTGAAGCTACATTAGAAATATTTGCTGGTGGATTTTATTGCGAAGGCTTCTTTCCATTACACTTTTCAGCCTTTTTACTGCCAAGCCAAACAAAGATAAGGGTTTGCCTCACTGGATAGATAAGTACTATATAGCTCTTCTTATTTTTTCTTCTGGCTAGTTGTGAGAATGGAGAGCCTGGCATTCAGGAACAAGTATGGCATGGTCGAAAGAAGGGAAATGCAAGTCAGCTTTCTAGGAATTCAAATTTCATCTAGCAGCAATTAAGAGGACTCTTTAGAAGCATTATGACCTGGAATCACATGCCAGGGTCTAACATGACATAACACAGTGTGACTAACATGTTCAGCTTTTTGCCTTACTTAAAATATATATAATACGTTTTTATAATCTTATTTGTAAAAATACTCTAATTTCATGCCAGAAACATTAAGGCTATATTGAATGCAATTGAATTTCACAGTTAAACAATTTAGGAGGGCATTTTATTTAAATACCTTTGCATCCTTTTAATGATGGATTCAAATGGCTAAAAGGACAGTGGAAGATAGAAGCTGAAGGCCCTGGCTAGGAGAGGCTGTGGAATGCTGCCATGGAGGGCCCCTCTGACGACTCCAGAGGAAGATTTTGGATTAGTGATTGTGGAAGGTGATTAATGATTTGCTTATTTGGTGCTTAGGGTTTAATTTTTAAAGGTAGGACATCTAAATGTTTTAAACTATCTTTATGATACTGAGAGGTAACTCCAGTGAAGAGACAAAATGAGATGACTGTAGCACTTTCAGTCAACATGGAGGCATCTTTTTTCCTTCTTCTAGGACCCTAAATTCTTTTGTTAGACTGTCGTTTTCCAGGTATCAGTTTCTATAAGGTTTAGTCCAGAAAGTTAATTGATTGTTCCTCTATAGACCAAACATTCAATTCATAAACTAACTCATATTATTTTATTCTGTTTTGATCTAAATCCCTTATGGAATGAAGCAAGATATAAATCAGTATATTGATAATATGTTCATATATATGTTCATAATTTGCATGTATATATGTTTAAGTCTATGAATATAATGAATATATATTCAGAGAAAGGCAAGATGGCCTGCCTTCTAATGAAAAGATAATCCTTCCTATCTAGCCTCATAGAGTTTCATCTTTTAAGGTTTTCTTCTCTTCATACATTGAAACTACAGAAACTCAATCCAGAAGTGCATTTTCCAGAGTTTGTGTTTTGACCAATACATTTTATTTTATTAGAATTTTAGTGGGTGGGAGCAATATTGAGTTTGATGACTATGTACACATTGAAGGAAATGACGTATCAAGTCTCATTTAAGATAATGGAGCTTTGCTCATTTTAGTCAACTTAAAATTATTGCAGTGTCTGCTTGTTTTCCAGTGAAATTGCAGGTAATAGCTGACCTTGCTTCTTTAACATCTCTTCCTCTGGGTTACAGAACTATCCAGAAATTCTAAAATATAAATACCAGACTCCTAGCTTAACTCTGAATTCCTGTTAGGGCCAAATACAATTTACTTGTAAACACTTAGGACCAATAAAGTTTAGATGGAGCTCATAATTATACAAACTCATCTCATTCACAAATCCCTAGGGCTCAGTAGTAAAGTCAGCCATTGTTTAAGGCAGAAATTCAGGCTTAGATATAATGTAGCAAAGATTTTCCATTATAGGAGCTGTCGATCCTATTAAACATAAAACTTTTCTCTTGGCTTTCTGTTTTACTGTCTTCAGCTGTATGCCCCTTGATTTTTTCTAGTAATACCTTCGAATTTAAAAATGAAAATACAAATGTTCATTTTTATGTTTTAGTGTTTTTAAAAATAATTTGATTAAGAATGCTATGATAGAGGAGCAAAGTTGTTGTTAGTAATGTCAATGTGCTTACAACTTATGGAAATGAAAAGTAGTCTTTAGTCTTTAGTTCTAGCAGCCTTTCTGTTATAGTAAAATAGTTTGTGCACTTTAAATCGCTGTGAGGTTATATCTTCAGAGGACTGAGTGACATAAGCCAGGGAGGTCTTAGAAATCTTACAAAAGGAAAAAAATAAGAAATTATTCCTCATCATATGAAAATTATTTACTAAGAATGTATGATGTTTTGGCTTCTTTTAAATTCTTCACTTTCCACTCCTTTTTGCTTCTTCCTTTTAGTTGACTATTATTGAGTTACTTACACTAATGTTGACATATTTGGGTTCAGAGAAAAATACGCAAGTAAAGGAAAATGGAAAATAGTTTCAA